GTAAACGTGATCGGTCGTAACGCTTGCGCGCTTGCGTGACTTACAAAGTAGACAAAGTTGATCGGAAGGCGCCTTTTTGATAATTTACGTTGAAATATCAGGTCATGAACTATGCACAGTGTGGAGAAGATCAAATTAAAGAATAAAATTGGGCACTCTGGTCATAACCGACATATCGCGTTGCTTGAAAGGACACAAAAACAAGTTAAAATAGGTTGCAGTGTTTATATTTACAAAACAACACGCATACACTCCGAAACAATTCTTGCAGTTTCTCCTGAGATTTCGTATAAGGAAACCCGACGAACTAACCCTCTTTCTGCAAATTTGTTTCCGTCATTAATGATGTTACACTCTTATGGACCACAACGGTTTTGAGCGACAAACTCGACATTTCCCTGCTACCATCAAAATCAACTGGACAAACCCAGCTTGATATATTGCGTGACGTGATTGTGCAAACTTTTCTCTTTGTCATACGACCTCTTTCGCAGGTTCTACAAGTTGGAACCAAAATTAGTTGATGTAACGAATTAGAATCGAAAGTTATTGAAATGGACTGAAGAATTTTACTTGCCAAAACCGAGGCAAACGGTTTAGATACACTTTGTGGACTTTGATAGTATGCAGTAAGGGAAGCAAGCTCGCCCCAGAATATATACACTCACAGAAAGCGAACTACAAATATTTACCATGTGTTCGAGTTGTTGTGTTGAATACAATTCAAGCTTTATTCAAGCAAATTTCGCTATAAACATGCACTGAAACAATGCAAATACACATTCATTGATAATTTTCACGATTGATTGTAGTTTGAACGTGGGCAATAAAAATTTTATCGTTTAAATGTTTACTTGATTCATGGAAAGCAAAGATTGGAGTGGCTTTGGGTATTTCAGCCCTGTTTTGGAAAAAATAAAACAGTTAGTGGTATGTTTTAAACACCATAACACCTGAAAGGACACTGGAAATGTAGTAAAATTATTTTTTAGCATCCAGAGCAAAAAGAAGAATGTGAGGCAGTGAAAAGAGACTGAGTTTTCAACGCCATTTTTCGTAAAAGCTGCCACCAGCTTGTTATTGAACTCACTAAAATTTACCTGGAAGGCATTAACTTTTTTTGTCGCGAAACTCGTGGATTTTAAAACTTTGAAACGACGTCCGATGAATCCTGAAACTGGAGTTTGAGTCCATTGATAAACTATGCGAGCTGGTCTCATGAGCAGATCAAGCTCCAACGAAATTTGACAGTTTTTAATTTTTAAGCGGATGCAAAAATCGAGACAAAAATTCGTCATGACACAATTTGTCCTTTGATTTTGTCAAGAGAATTCTGGTTTTGTCTGCTATTGCAGATAGCCCAGATAGGCACTTACGAACCAATTTTTAGTTAAATAATAGCCTTCACTCTCGAGAAATTGCAAATATATTACTCATGTTATACGAATACAACTTAAATTCCGAAAACTTCAAAAACATCTCCAGTCAGTCTGGCTTTCTTCTACTGCCTCACATTTTCCCTTGTGCTGTGGCTGTTAACAAGTACCTCCACCGCATTTCTAATGTTTCTTAAAGTGTTCAGATGTTTAGAACATACCAATAACTGTTACATCTTTTTCCATATCGTGGTCAAACTGACCGTAACGAAACAAAATTAACGTGTAATCGAGGATTTCGCTGGATAGCTGGTAGTACTTCGAATAACTCGATACGTCGTCCCAGGAGAGAAATCAGGGCTTAAATATCCCAAAGCCACTCCAATCTTTGCTTTCCATGAATCAAGTAAACCTTTTTAAAAGTTAAATTTCTCATTAAAATGTAATTCAGTCCATTTTAATAACTTTCGATTCTAATTCGTTACATTAACTAATTTTGATTTCAATTTGTAGAACCCGCGAAACAGGTCATATGGCAAGAAACACAATCATACGCAATATATCAAGGCAATTTTGATGTGAAAAATTCGCTCAAAACCGTTGTGGTCCATAAGAGCGTAACATCATTAGTGATGGAAACAAATCTGCGGAAAGGAAGGTTAGTTCATCGGGTTCCGTATACTAAATCTCGGGAGAAACTGCAGGAATTGTTTCGGAGTGTATGCGTGCTGTTTTGTAAATATGAACACTGCAACCTATTTAACTTGTTTTTGTGTCCTTTCAAGCAACGCGATATGTCGGTTATGACCAGAGTGCCAAATTTTATTCTTTAATTTTGATCTTCTCCACACTGTGCATAATTCATGACCTGATATTTCAAAGTAAATTATCGAGAAGGCGCCTTCCGATCACCTTTGTCTACTTTGTAAGTCACGCAAGCGCGCAAGTGTTACGACCGATCACGTTTACGCAACGTTTTAGGACAACTCGGCATCTAATCTCCATTCAGTTGCTGTGAAAACCTAAAATCCTCAACGTAGAAGATAAACGAACGAAGTTTGAACTGTAAAAAGGAGATCTTGGTCAATTCCAAGAATCATGCAAATGATCTTTGACACGAGCACAATTGAGCAAACACATGGATTTGCGTTGTTTTTAAGAGGTTGGTGGATGGAAGCTGGAGATATACCCGCGGGTTTGAGACAATCCATGACCTCATTGATGCATAAACTATGCACTGATATGCCTTTTCGGTCCGATTAACGCCTGCATTTTGAGAATTCTTTCGTACAAAGTAGTGAATTTTTGATATGCAAATTAAGGTCGAAGAGAAGGGTCTCCTCTGATCACGCTGGTATGAAAAATATTTCAGCTGAAGTTTCCATATTTTGTCTGTTAACTAACTGAATACACCTTGTAACTTGTAGCAGGATAGAATTCCGTGAACTACATTGTTGCAGTCGCTGCGCGCTGGACAAAATCTTTGAAATCGACACTTTCGATCGCTGTTCACAGAGGTGGTCTGGCCAAAAATGATTTTTGGCTTGTGGCCACGCAAAAAAAGAGAATTGGAGAACAACTAAACTATTTTTGAAACATGTGTCCTAAACCCTTTTCATGGGCAAAAAATAAAAGAAAACTTTTTTCCGACGGGAAGTCGAGAGGACCGCTTTTAGCGAGAGTGGCACTTAAATTCCAACAATGAGGATTCATTTTGTCCTCTGCGAAAATCTTAAAATCTAGTTTCGCAACACGAGAAACAACTGAGACGCTAAATTTACACGGTTAAAAGCTTTTATGACCTATGAATGACAAGATAAACAAAATTTTGTCAATTTGAACGATTTTGTCCAGTTTTTACCTAGGACAAATTTTGTCGGTGGTGCGTCTGAAAATTTGTCCGCTTCGGCCAAAATTTGTCAAGTCGCCACAAATTATCCGCACTTGGTGGTGACAGAAATTTTGTCTAAACAAACAACTTTTTCGCAAGTGCGAATCGGCCCTTTGTCAGTTTCTGATGCAATTAAATAGTGGTTGTATTCACCACCGCAAGTCTGTTGCAAGTCAATTGCACTTAATGAGTTGCCAGTAATTGGATCCTCGTGATTGCACAAAGATTTCTGGGCTCGTCGCGGGGCAAACTTATAGGGGATACACGGCGAAAGGTTGTTTTGACGTCTAAAAAAACCGATTTTGGAGAGAGATCAACGCTTTTCGCTGCGGTCTTTTTCATGAATGGATAGAGATAATGTTGATTGGAGGGAAGTGTAAGTTTTTGTTCGTATTTTCACGAAATATGTCATGAAATATACCGATGAACGTCTCTCCTTGCGTAAGGTTTATTGTGAGTCGTTATCTCGTAATGGTCTCGACATTTATAAAATTAGCCATGAATCGCCAAGAAAAAACTCATTTAAGTCTTTTCAGTCGTATTTATGTCTGCACAGCCTATTTTCATACTTGTTAACGTATAAATAAACAAATTATGACTTCTGAAGATGTACCTCCTCAAAAGAGAGAAGTCGTTGTCTGCGGAGATGGAAATTGTTTGTACCGAGCTACTGCTCTTTGGAAGGATTAAAAAAAGCGGTGAAAAACATCAGGAAATCCCTTGTTCAAGTTATAATTTGTTTGAGAATAATCCAAAGATTTTTGAGCTGCCACTTTTCTTCGCGAATTCTTGGAAGATCTTGTCAAGAAAAGCAAGCTCCAGAGAATTCCGGCAGAAACTGTGGACATTTATTTAGTTGTGCATCGCTCGTCAAGCAACCCATTTGTACCTACTCATCGTCGCAGAAAAAAGGGTTCAGTTCTGAGTCATTTGTCAACGCTGGTCCGTCCACGTTGATCACAAAAGAGAAGCAATGTAGGCGTTAAATCACTTAAATATCTCACGATAATATTAAATGCTCAAGCACACCATTTCAATCTCATGCTGCCTTGAGAGAGCTCTTGTTACTCTCTTTGTATTACCAAGCCAAAACAAAAGCTAGAAGTAGGCTATACACATGTCCTAATATCTTAAAAAGCTTCATTGGTTTATTTCTTAGCGATTTATAGCTGATATTTCCACATTTCGAGACCATTCAGCGATGCCAGTTTCACAATTACCTTGCGCATGAACGTATGAACAAAGCCTGGATTACAAACCGAGCGGACTTTCATTTATAACAAAGGAAAATACATCGTAGACTATGAGACTTTGGTAAACGTCTAAGAAAAATTAAGTTCTCATCCCAGAGTAGCTTAAGGAAAAAATATTACTAATGTGGGAATGTCTCAACCAAGGTTCTTAACCTGACCCGCCTAAGGTGGTACATTCATCTCCATTGTCACGGCGCTCGCATTTCATTTCCGTTCCACACCATGGTCTTTATCATGGTGAGCTTGCTCAAGACTTAAAGCTTTCAATACTTTTACCAAATAAAAGCGGCCGCAATTTAATTAACAGAAAGTTTGCAACTGTGCGTCAAAAGAGTAAAGAAGTGCATTTGGCTTTTAGGTCCTTTTACTGCGTTTTCACGACACAAAAGAAGCATTTTGGACCTTTTTTTTCGTCCTTTACTGAGAAAATAACCGTATATAATAAAGTATAAACGAGATTACGTTAAGGAATAAGATGAAAGGGTACTCTAAATCCGATTGTAAAGCTCTAATATATGTAATTTATGCGCCGTCAATACACTTTCATCATGCTATTTTAGTGTAGTTTTCTTATTTCATGTCGCTTAATAGGGAGTTGGGCCTGGAATGTAGAGCAATTTCCATGTCCATTCGTGAGCACTATCAGCATAACTTTCAGGGCGAAGAAGTAGGTCTCTCAGCAGTTTCAAAAGTTTGTATGGAGATGGAAAATTCGCAACTAACTGGACAAAGTTATACATTAAAGTAAACTAAAAAATGTAGTAAACACTTTTAAAATTTTAATATCTAGTGAAATATAACTTATTCCATGCAATAATTGTAAATGTAACTCTATTTCATTATGGAAAACAAAGCCAAAGTAATGTAATTTATTGTGTATGTCTCTAAAATAAGTGGGATCCCTTTATTCTGTATACATTCAATCTGTAAATTCCGTCGTTATTTTGTCCGTTGAAAGACCGTGATTGTAACATGTTCTTGTAAATAACGGCGCTCACCAAGACGCCCACCAAAACCGCAGATATTTTTAAAATTACAATAGGGCCAATATACCTGTCAAACACTTAGGAAGGGAGTTTATCATTGAAAGGTTATACAATGCATGTTGACAACTGAAAATGATGAGAATCAATTTTTTAGGTTCCTAATTACAACAGCCAAGCCATGTTATGAACGCAGTTGGGACGAGAGTTCTTTGAACCGATACTTTACACTTCCATTTGTCCTTCATACATACTTAAGTGTTAAGTTAATAACTCCATTATAATCCAGCTAAACGGCCTTGAAGAGGCAAATATGACGGACTACTTGGGCACAATAGAATACTGAATACACTCCGTGTTCCCGCTTTGGAAAATTCCGGTCACTTTGGAGCAAATGTCGGTCACAGAATGCTAAAGGACGCCTTCTGATTTCCGAGGACTAACACTCTTTGTTTGTCTTGAGCTTCCCTCCTCGACTTTGTTCTTCGATTCTGAAACCAGGTTTTCACTTGCTTCTCCGTCAGATTTAATACTGAAGCTAACTCTGCCCGCTTGTTTTCAGTCACATACTGGCATTTTGTATACTCCTTCTCCATGGTCTCAATCTGGTTGGCTGAAAATAATTGACGCTGCTTCCTTTTCTTCATTGGCCTTCTTCGTTTACTTTGGAAAGGCACTTCGTCTGGATCGTAGAGAGGAATAATCAAATTTTTACAACGTCTAACATCATCTTTTAAAGTTACCAGAGAATGACTTCTCGACAATATTGCTTTTTATAACGGTGATTGTGCCACATATACATTAGCCAGTTTTGCCGTATAACATGGTTGTGAATGGGAAACCATTCCTTAAATTATAAGCCTCTACATACACTGATGAAGACGCATTAAATTAGGAAGACATGAAGGGATCGCTCCATGGGTGAGTTTACTGTGAATACTATTACTTAGCTCCCTGATTTGTTATAACATAGTTGTTGTCTTTGAACTAAGACCTCCAATGTTAAATCGAAGTGTTAGCAACCGAGTTCTATTGGCTCTAGATTTAAGCGCAATGGCTTTTAGCCTTAACAAGTGTAGATGTATAATGAGAAATACCCACTCCATAAGAGTCACGGTTATTTCTGTTGTCAACTTGGGTTGTAAACTACTTTCATGTCAGGATTCAAAAATCGTGTTAGTTCAAGAATATTTCGTAGCCTTTCCGGATATACTTTGAGAGGTGACGCATCACAATTTAATTGCAGAATGAGTTCGTGATTAGAAACACGCTCATCTGTTCTTTTACTGTCTCTCTTTTCGTTTCTCTAATGCAGTGTTTATTCTAGACAAATGAATTGTGAAAGAGATCTTAAACTTGTTCACTCGTAATGAAAGGAACGTCGTTCTAAGCCATGCCAGATCATTACCTCACTTTTTTTGTATTTCACCTGACTTTTTAAACATAAAACCGTTTTAATGTATAACTTTCATTCCTACCTTTTCGAAAGTATCATAGAGGAAATCGAACTGAGTTACAGCCGTGTTTGAGGAACCACAAGAACAATGACATTAAAGACAACAATTTATCCTCGTTAACACCTTATGAACCTACCTAGTGGATGTCTGCTGTTTGAAACTGGAGAATGGCCGAAAATTTTCACTGAGTGAGGGTAAAAAATTTCACCAAAGTTGAATTTCGAGAGAATAGTACACAGAGGGAAGTTTAGCCCATTGTATGAACGCTGAGAGACAGACCCAGGAACAATTGCCAAGGATGGACTGGAAAAGGAATAATTCAAAAGTTTGCATGCTGAACTGTCGGGGTGCCTTTCTTTCTCTGTTCTAACTGAATGATTCAACAGGTTTTCGATGAAAAAAGAACTTCCAGCAACAGCTGCTGGAGATGTTGACGGACTCTCTGACGCCATGTTGACTTTGAAACAGGGCGCGTGATGCAGCAGTATTACAATGAATAACAATTGATTATTTGATACGTGTAGCAGCCGGCTTCAAACAACAACCGCTCATTATGTATGGTGTCAATGATAACATCAATATTACATTGACCCGCTTTGCAGTTTGATTCCACTGAACGCCTCAAAAAAAAAGAAAAAGAAAAAATAAAGAAAAAAAAAAACGACGTTTACGTTAGAAAAGTGCGTTAGCGGAAAGGATATTTATTGGACTCAACACATATCAGTTTCAACTCTGAGTCCCATAATTAAAGGGGCTTGACAGAAAGGTTACTTTACTTTGATGCATTTCCGTTTCACGATGCCAGACCTGCTGATAAGAATAACTTTACGCTAAACTGACAAACAATAAAACTTGGTCATAATCGGCCCCGCTGCGCCGTGCATGCAAAGTACAAAAGCATTTCAGAACATGCTTAAACATTCTCTTAAATATCTCAGTGTCCTCATTAATGTTCTTTAATAGTGCAGCTACCGCTAGCTGTAGCTTTTGTAAGGATTTCTGTCCCTTTAAAGGTCAACACTGACTGACCTCTAAATGAACATCATACTAAGACCACGAATTAGACTCTATTTGCAGTCAGTAGCTTTGGTTACTTTTAATTTTTGATCCACCTGGCATTTGTCTTTACCTACACTTTTCATTTCGTCTCATCAATAGTCGAAATGAAGCAATTCTGTGATGGAAAAAATCCTGAAATTCGAAGGCTGTGAATAACTCGATTATCCCAGGTGCTGACTTTTTTAGTTCAATAACGTTGGAGGAGTGGCTATTTCCATAACATTTTTTAAGCAATTTCAGTGACACAATCTAAATAAATTAACCACAATGCAACATAAAATTGAGCTGGTTTCTGTGATGCTTAACTTGACTACAATAAATGAGAGAAACCAAGGTCACTGATTCAAATTTAATGAGATTATGCCCTCTCTTATGTTAAAAGGGAATTCCGCTATTTTACTTCGTTCCCCCTTGACTTAGTGAGTCGAGTGATGATAAAGGTATAAAGTCAAGTTCATTTTCATTTCATGGAGCTTGTGAACAAAGGAGTCTTCATAAGTTTGAAATGCCATTTGAACCAACAGACTCCCTTGTTTGGCTCATCGGAGAATGATAGCTGGGAAAAATAGAGATACATTGGCTCGTTTGATTATGGATCTACCTGCCAGCTTTCTGACTGCCGACAGCTGAACTTCGGGTAGGCATTGACAGAATGATTGATTGCGTCGCCACGCCAATTTCAGTCGGAAGTCTGGTACGTGTTAAGGTGGCCTTATATAGCGTTGACAAACGCGGCGGCAGACTGCTACCACATCCATAAAAGCATCTGGATACTCCGCTAATGGAACACGAATGCTTGAGTTCTTTACAACACACAATTACGCACGGGATCGAAAATGAAAGAAATGCATTCAGTGTATAGAAATTGGTGGGAGGGTTATATGCTGACCTCCCCTGAGAGTCAATGGGAAAACATTTGGACCCTTGCTTTTTTGGATCCTTACGTGCCGTAGCTCTTCTAATTATAGTTCAGGTTACGAAGTTCAGGTCTCCGCCTTAAAACTCAAGAAGATCTCTGTTACAACTGTCTGACGCTTTGCTGAGGTACATTGTTGGTCTCATTTGTTACTTAATTAATTGATAGGGAAATGGTGACGTCCTGCTAACTACTTAGTTTCGTCGACGTTTCCTTCATGACAAGACACAAAGGATTGCACAACTTATACGTAAAACGGTAATTGATATCTTTCATTCAGTCGAGCGGCATTTGACATTAACAAAATTTGATTAGAATCTATAGTGTCAATAGTTCATACTTAGAGCTATTTATACTCGTGGTTTTCAGAACGATTATATTCTTTTGGCGTATTTAATAATAATAATAATAATAATAATAATAATAATAATTTAACTCTTTTATTGCGTGCTTTCCATGAAATGATCAAGCGCGCATTACATGATTTCTATCTATAGCAATTTAATACAGGGTATCTAACTGATAATTATTTAAAATATACTATGATGAAATTAAAATATACAACATATGTTAAGATACTAGTAATTATCGTGATATTTGATACTGACTTCCTCTCCTGGATTGCAAAACTGATGTGATCCGAATGTGGTTTGAGGGCAAAATCCCACCCTCCACTGTCCTTGACCGCGGATTTCCTTTCGACTTATTTGAACCAGTTTTACACACAAAATGGGTCTTTTTTTTTATTGTCGGAAAGGCAGATGTATCAACTTTGTCCTGGGGTACCTTCACCTCTTAGAGCTCGGGTTAAATGAATTTATCCTGAAATAAAGTACAAGATAATCTTGATCATAGATATTTTCCTGGTAGGAATATGACCGAGTAATAATCAAAACACCAAAAATAATTCAACGATGAAATATTATATTCAATTTCTGCCAATTATCAAGAAATTACCTCAAATGGTCTTTGTTTCGAGGGAGTATTATGGATTATATCAAGAGATTCCCACCAAAATTACCCGCCTTTAAGCAAATCAGTGATATTTTAACAACCTGTCGCGCTTGATTAATGACCAATACTATCACCAGCTCGAAGAACTACAGCCGGCAGTACCAGCAGCTCCGAGGAATTTCCCAACGCAGGTAAAACGTGCGCTATTTTGTTATTGTTTTTATTAAATCTATCATTTTGGTTGACTGCTTTCGGATATACAGTGAACAAAGAAAGTCTACTTTTCGGTGCATGCACAATGTGCCTGTCAAATTCACCACTATTAGATAGGTTCGATTGAAATATTCATGATGATACGGCCACTGTTCTTACATTTGGTTGAATTATTTGAAGTTTTCACCTAATTCTGTCTCGTATTTATGGTCTTTTTATAATCCATGGGTACCTTCTCGATAAACTTAGTTTAGTAAAGCAGCATAAATCGTATTTCCTCGATCAGTCAGTTTAGTAAAGAACTTCGGTGCCCATTTACTTCGTCGTCTTTGGAATGACAGCTTTGCTTCCTCATTTTCGAAGTCTTCCCCCGAAGTCCTTTACCTTGGTATGCTCTCTTTCTATGGATAGTGTTTACATCGTACGCTAAAACGTTCACGGGGCTCTAATGTGTGATCCAAAATTAATAGTCAATTAGAGAAGTTCATGTTAAGTTAGCGAGTCAAATATTTTTAAAGGGTTCCAAAAAAGGCAAATTAGCTCGTGCGAAAACTCTGAACGGTACTTTTCGAATTTTTCGTGATATTGTGTAAGTTCATTCCGTTTGAAAGGCATTTTCATGGTGGATGTGGTTTCCAATTTATATCCCGATTTTTTCCTCCACTAACCACAGTGTTCTTCTTCCATTTCAGCGGCGGAGCTCTGAAGACATTATTCTGACTTGCAAATCTTAATGAGTGTCATTCAAAGCCTATTTAAGCTGCTCTCATGGATTGCAATTGTAGCAACAACTGTTGTTGACCTTGGTAAGAATGTTTCAGCTGATGAAAGGTTCTACATTGTGTTGCTGAATTCAAAGTTTATATTTGAGATTTAGGCCATCTCTTCGTGACACTGTACCCTTTGAACTCGTTAAATCCTGTTCCATACCGAATTGTGTACTTTAAGCTAGATTCGGCAGCATAAAAGCCGAGTTAGAACGCTCTCTAAGAGTACTGTTTATGATTCATACTGTTTTAGATGATTTTTTGTATACTTATTATATAAAGATGTTAATAGTTCCTCTAAACAGGCATGGCCGAGTGTCCACAATGAGAACTGAGCCTTCTGGAAGAGCCTTGAAAGATCCTTCGTCTTCAAGACCCTTAGGTAACAGCGACATAACTAAACTCCTGGAGGACCTAGACAATCAAACGGAAGCCATCAAGACTGGTCAAGAGATAGGCGAAGAACTTTTAGGCGAGAAAAACCATACCAGATTAAAGGAAGATGAAGTGGAAACAATTGATGGTAGTTTATTTGGTAAGTTTTGGTTCTCTATATGCATATTTTGTTTGCCATTTATCAGAAATTAGGTTTTGGTCCACTCTTAGGTCCCTGTGAAGAGAAATTTTCCTCAGAAAACAGGGAAGGGCTAATATCAAGTGTGGATAATATTTTGTCATTTTTATCCCTTAGAGTATTCTAATGATGAGAGCAAAGGAGAAGACTTTCCAGAGGAAGTCAAAGGTACCGTATATCAGTGTGTTAATCTGAAAGGAAAAGGGAGGGAGAGGTAGCAGAGCCAACGTTTTTAAACGTTGGCTCTAAAAAGCCTGGCTCTGACGTTTAGAGTAGTAAAATAGATTCACATGTAGCAAAATAGACTCATTATTCATAAGTCATTGTTCAGTTTTGCCTGTGCATAACAAAAGATCTTGTATTCAAGACATATATCCTTAACCTTCTTCTGATAGCCTGTGAATAATTGTGGATAATAGTTTAAAAAAATTTCATTTTGAATGTGAACAGATGACTCCTCACAGGCTGTGAGTATAACAGGAGCTCCTGCGCTGGTCGATAGAGACGGAGTTCCAGACAAAACAACAGCCCTTGAGAGCGGGGCTTCTTATTTAGCTGGCAAGCCCCTGTTGATGCTCAATAACAAAAGTGAAGACCTAGATGTAAGCAAATGGTTTCTGTACTACCCAATCTCGACGGAATCTGATGAGCAAAGAGCATAATCATTAAGCGTTATTATTGCAACGTATATGTAGTTGTGTACTTCGAACGGTATTTGCGAGAACTACATTTCTCTTGTTATTTCTTTACCTCATGAGAAGTCGAATTTTGGATAAGAAACATAAGGTCTCAGCACTCGTTTAGGAGGTAAAGCACCTCGAGGATATCAATAGTGAGTATACCAAGTGAGCTAAAAAGCTACCTGGGAGTTGGTCATTATATTGGTTCTTAATAAAAGTGAATTGATGGATAAATGAATGTGAATATATGGCTAGCTCAGTTGGTGAAGCTGGTACTTAGGTTACATAATATAAGTTCATATTTACCTGATGATTCCTATTCCACTTTGTTCTTTTTTCATCTATCCACTTGTTTTTTTTTTAATAACAACATTACAGTGGCAGATCATCTTAGTCCAGGGGAAAGGAACTCCCCCCTCACTCAATTTATCAGATCTGTGGGTTTTTTTTTTATTACCTGTATGACACCAAATTTCATGTCAAGACTGGATCGCATACTACAACTAAATATGAAGCAAATAAAATTTCATTTGTTTTCTGAATCCAAATTTGCTTGCCCCTCCCCCCTTAATGAAAAACCCCTGTATTATAAAGTACTTGCGGCGTTTTATGATCCAAAAGCGTGACGTAACCTTTCGAAAATTGTCTTCAAAGTGTGCCACAGATTCCATTCCACCATTTCGAAGGCAACTTAGTAACCAAACTAAACATGCAAATCTACAACGTGTATTCCACGAAGAGCTAATGTGACTATAGACTTTGTGAATGCTATTTATTTAAATTGCTATGGGATGGAAAAAGAAAGGAATTCGACTTGGTATGTCACATATCAGTGACCAGGTTGCTGGGAAAAATTCAAAATAAAGGCTTCTGTAGTCCAATTATTATCACATTTCCAGACAATTTCCGAACAGTTAGGTCAATCTCTGGAATCTTAAAAATTGGACAGTGTTATAATCTCACATAAGCTTTTAAACGGAGGACATTAAAATTATAAGCATCAGGGGGCCAACCGCAGCCATTTATTGAAATAATGGTTTTTTTCTAGAGAGAGATTTCATTTTAAACATAAAAACGGTTTTTAGATGCTGAGACCAATAGGACCAGAGAAAGGCCCCGTAGCCCAATGGATAAGGCATCTGACTACGAATCAGGGGATTCCAGGTTGGAGTCCTGGCGGGGTCGCGGATATTTTGATTTCTTAAACTCTATGTCATTTAAATTTCTTTTATCACTTTAATCGCTTTCATAAAATTATTAGGCTGGATAAGAAATCAAGTTATTTTTGGTAAAGGAACATCGCTAAAGGTGCCATTCAAACAAATTATATGTTTTTCCATTCTGATAGTCTCTGGCTTCTATAATATACGATATACGTCATCCATCGGTGAAATACAGCCCCTACCGGAAATCTTACCACATCTACCATTGGTTTAAGATACTATCACTGATCATCGATGATTATGAATGAGTCAAATCACTGTGATCATGAAGGTTGATGGAGGGAAAATGAAGGAGACATATTCCCATATTTTCCAGTGGGAAAGACAACCAGGGTTTACCTTGGAATTTCGTAATGTCAAACTAAAGTCGAGCTCGTAGTCAGTGTTCAAAGAAGTATTTTGCAATTTTTTCTATGGTTAAATCATGCTCTGCTCATTTCATTTTCTTGCAAAGAATCGAGAAAAATATTGAAAAAAAAAGAGAAACAACCGGAACGAAAAATAAAAATGTTTTATTTTTCAGGCCTCGTATACACACAACTGCAACAGCAATAAAAAGTGGACTACGAATTTATGGAATGAGTTGTTTCTTTATAGGAATATATTTTATTTTCGAGAATAATTCACCTTTTTTTCTTAACAAAGGCTCAATGGTAAGGCATCTGACTACGAATCAGGGGATGCTTGGTTCGAATCATGGCGGGGTCACTGTGCTTTTCATTTAATAAACTTTGTATCTTGTGGATTTCTTTTGTCATTTCAATCACTTTTACGAAGTTATGAGGATGGAGACCAAATCCATGCACTTATAGTTACCGATTATGCATTGCTGCATTTGCTCTTCAAAATGTTCTCAAACTCTTATAATACTAGTCATCCTTCTTTTAATAAAATATAACCCCTGCCTGAAAGCTTCCAACATCTTCTGAGCAAATGAGTTTAAGATACCGTTCCTGATCATCAAAGATTTCCGTTTTTTTCAGAAGAAAAGACAAATCACCATGATCGTGTAGGATGATGGAAGGAATATGAGGAAAACATATTTCGATTATTTAAAAACCAGCTCAGATTCTGCTGGAAGGAAAATCATCTAGGGTTTATCTTGAAGGATTATTGAGACTGAGCATGTAGGTTTGTTCCCATTCGACAACTAACTCTCTTAGAAATCAAGAGTGCCACGGAAGTTGATGCAGAGCTTCAGGAATTAGTCACTATGATCATACAAGGCTGGCAAGAGAGAGGGGTAGACGTACCACTCAAGTTACAGAATACTTTCCTTTCATAGAAGAATTGTCCATACTGGACGGTGTCGTGTTCAAGGGCGAGCGAATCATAGTACCATCTACCCTAAGGTAACTTATGATAGACAGAGTACATACTAGTCACCTCGGTGTTCAGGGGTGTCTCAGGAGAGCTAAAGGAGCCTTCTACTAGCCAGGCATTTACAAGAAAATTACAGAGTTCATCTCACGGTGCAGCATTTGCAACAGCTACAAACCAAACAGCAGAAAGAATCTTTCATTCATTTCATTTCATTTTATTTTTATTTAAACACGATCAATTCATCAGCCTAAAAAATACATACCACATACGCTAGAATATTTAAAACTCAAACTATATACTATAACACTAAAAGCTGTTTTCCGTGAGTGCCGTGCGTTAGACTTAAAGAATGTCATTGATCTTACGTTTAAATACCCCCAGAGACTCTTTGTTCCTTATATCGCATGGTAGACTGTTCCATAATGTGGCGCCATTGTAGCTAAAGCTTTTTCGGTAATAATTAGTGCGCGGTAATGGAACATTGAGCTTATTTTCAGAGTCCCTGAGGTCATAAGCAGAGTCACGCCACGTAAACTTTGAACACAGATACTCTGGAGCTAGCCCGTGCAGACATCTAAACATCATGGTGGCTTTGTGAATTTCCTGCTGGCGTGCAAGATTTTTCCACCTTAAAAACTCGAGTAGCTCAGTTGCATCAGCATCATAGTTAGAGAATGTCAACACACGGGCTGCTCTATTCTGCAATTTCTGCAGTTTGTCTCGTAGCGTTTTCCCACAGTTACCCCAAACAATGTCACAGTAATCAAAGTGAGGTTTTACTAAGGCTTGGTAAACGAGATGTAAGGTTGATGCTGGGATCAGGTGCCTAATTCGCTTTAGATATATGGATATATTGTCATATCGAGTAGTGATCATATCACAGTTCATGTCTCCCAGTACAAAAGATTCTACATTTTCACTATCCAATTTTCCAATTAGGGATTCAAAAGGTGAAAAAATGCCAATAGGAGAGTCAGGTGGTCTGTACCAAGTAACAATCACAAAAGATTTTGAATTTGGCTTATGGATTTCCAAGCAAAGATTTTCTAATGTATCCATATGTAGGTCATTTCGTACAGTAAAGTTGATTGAGGTTTTTACATAGAAGCATACCCCTCCGCCGGATTTTGTAAGTCTATCGCAGCGAATTATTTCGTATCCCGAAATATGAACTTTATGATCTCGAATACTCTCGTTCAGTTTCGTTTCATTTATGGAAACAATATCGATATCATTGTTTGCTAATAGGATTCTTAGCTCGTCTATATGTGTTGTTAATTGATTAATATTGAGTGATGCCATTTTAAAACCGCGCAAAGGAGGCAATAGTGAGATAGATTTAGATTTTTCGGCTCTTTGGTTGCTTAATCGGTCCCGCACGGCATTGACGGAAAACACATTATATTATGCTAGGTGCGATTTAAAATTATTATAAAACTGCTCATTACCTTTAAATTTAAGTGCAGTCCACCTTTGTTGAGTCCGCCATGAGATATGTTCTCATGATGGATTAATTTCCATCCACTTTGATGGCAGAACTTCTTTAGATGCTTGTTGGCTGTTTTCACTGCCTGGTCAAGCTTATCTTTTCTGCATACAAGCTCCGACAACGTGACTATAGTATCGCAGGTGCCCTCGATCTGCCTCGCGAGATCCACAATCGATTCCGCAACAGCCTTTGGTTCCCTGGTTTTAAGATCATTAGTCCCAATGTGTAAAATCACTTCGTTGGGCGAAAGTTCTAGATTTGGCTTGAGATAGTGATTCATGGCCATCGTCGTAGCGCCCGAGAAAGGCTTGACTATAACCCTATGGCCGACTGCTTTTCCCAGTTTTTTTCCAGGTATTCTTGAGATCATCGAATCTCCTATGAGCACGGTTGTGCCCTCTTTGGTTGTTTTTCGGGTTCGAATTCTTTTCCTGTCAGGGTGTTGTTGGAAGCTCCTTTGTTTTTCGATTTCTTTCTTTTTTCCTTGATTTCACAATGAAGCCTTGTTCTTTGTTGGCGCAAGGTGTTGACTCATCCATACTTTGGACAATGGTATGTTCATTAAAGGTGTTATTCGTTGAACGGCATTGAGTAGCTGCTTCTCTGGATACGATTTGCAATGCAAAACTTAAAGAATCGCGTTCTTGGACTAACTTTTTATTTTCTTCCTTCAAAGATATAATTGTTTCCCGAAGTCGAGAATTTTCGGATTTCAGGTCCTCCTCTTTAGGTTTCTCTTTGATATGAGCCCTTAAGTTCAGCACTTCAGATTTTAGACAGTCCAACTCCTCTTGTACTGATTTGGCGTTCTTGTTAAATGCCGGAGTAGAATCTTCTTCATTCACGAGAATAACCGAGTCGTCATCAACCGGTAACTGGAGTAGCTTCTTCAGTTTGGCTTTCATTGCCTTTGCTTCCGGACCTTGGACTTGAAGGGTGCCGGTTCTGTCAAGTAAAACCAACGTTATTATCTTCGACTTCAAAGAACTAGACCTCTCAGAGGGACTCGCGGTTACAGAAACTTCCAAATTCAGGACATTCGAACAAAATTCCTGAAGTTGTGGTAGGCTTCCTTTCCACTTGAATAGACTTTGTTTGTCGTCCCAATGTAGGTATTGGTTTATGGGAGTTAAAGAAGGTTCAGCGCCAACAAATTCGCCATGACAGCATTACAGCATTACAGCATTATCTCGTATCTTACGATATACCGACAAGACCATGGCAGAACATCTCAGCTGACCTGTTTGAGCTCAACGGCACCGACTACCAAGTTACCACTGACCATTACTCTAATTTATTCGAGTTATGCTGACATCTAAGACCGCCGGAGGGGTTATTGAAAACTAAAGCCGCACCTTGCAAGATATGGGCTTCCGGACCGTATCACCACAGACAATGGACCACAATTTGACTGTAACGAGTTTCAGAAGTTTGCAGCG